CAAGAAGATGTTCCAGAAAAAGCCCAAGAAGCAGGAGGCGCCTGCTCGCACGCCTGCAGATTTTCCATTCTTTCTCTGGGGTTGTGATCTAGTAGGTTGCAGGCTCTGAGTTTGGCAAGGTCCTGGGCTGTTCAGATCATGTTCGGAGCGCTTCATGTTGTGCCCAGGAAGCAAATGAACCAAAGAACCTGGTGGAGTGGGCCAAGGGCAAGTCGGCGTGTTCTTTCTGGGGTGCCAAACTCAACCGGCGCCTGAATCAATGCGACTGTGGAACCAGTTTCACTGCCAACAAGAGGTTGAGCAGGGAGTGTATCTCTCAAAAAGCCGGCCTTGTCGATTTTAGCCCTTCTCTCATCTTGGAAGCAGACCCTCACATACAGTTGTGGGACCCAAAGTGCAAGTGCGTGACAAAACGTCAGGAAGGTTCTGATCAAGACCGAGCCATGCTCGCGGAAAAGGTTCAAGGGGTCGCAGCAGTGGACTTCTGCCGGAATCTGTTCGCGGGCGCTGACCAAGCATCCAAACATGACCACTTCTACGCGTATTGGGAGTGGAAGACAGATATCCAGAATAGGGTCAACGAGATGCTGAGCATGCACCGCTGCCAAGAACAGCTGCCAGACCCTAAGAAGATCGAAGACCTTCTGGAAAGCGGGGGGAGCTTGACGTTGAAGCAAGCTTGGGAGAAGGTTTGCTACGACGAGTGTGAAGATCTTCTGAATGAGCTGCGTGAGACGATGGAGACTGTGGTGAAGACAGGAGGCCTGAGGAAAAACTCCTGGAGCGAGATCTGTGTGGAGCATGTCGTCAAGAAGGTTGAGTCGCACTTGTTGGGCTGCTGCGGCAGAAGCTGTGGCTGGAACGGGAGGACATGTGCCTCTTCTGACGGATTTTATAAAATGGATTTGATCTCCCAAGAATTGCCGGAATAGGAGCAAGCAGCAGTAATGAGGTCATGTGTGGACAAGCGTAAAGGCATGGTGGCTTTCGCAAAGGGGTTTGGGGATTTGTTAATGGACTTTTGCTTTCATAAGGAGGTCCCAGGCTTTGAGGGCCTGCAAAACAAATCATTGTGCCCAAGCCCCAGTTCAGAAACTTCCTTGACTGGATACGCATTGCCCTGATTCTGAAACTTAGATTCTGCGAGTTCACACAGTTATTTGCCAGCGATTTTGGCAATTTATAGTCCTGTTATTTAGGAACTTATTCTTCCAATTTCCGATGCAGAACTTCACTTCCGGAGGGATGGCTTAATTTCACAACTTTGCATGTCTAGGTAAGCGAAGAGTTGACTTGACCATTGCCGAGCGAGCAGGTTTTCGCTCCGAACCCGTTTTTTTGTTGTGAAATTTCTGAATCAACTGCTTCAGTTTCCAAATCTGGTTGCTCTCCAGCTTGTGCCCGAATCAGATTGGTATCCGAATCAGGCGGGTTAATTAGTTTCCGAATGAGCCGGGTTAGTTTCCCAATCGGCATGTTTTCTCTGAATCAGGTGTTGCTTAGTTTTGGATGTTCGTGTTGGCTTTGAAGAAGGGGGTTTCTTGCATGACGAGTGACGTCGTGCGAACCTTTGTCGAGGCCGCCCGTAGGTAGGTTCACGAGAGAGCCCATGTTCCACATGACAAGATCAGCTTTTCCAGGCCGTGACAAGCGGCATCTCCCCGCCATGCCTGCAAGATTGTAGTTTGAATTTTTTTTGAGACCATATCTTTTTGCCGCATGGAAGATGTGACGCCTTTTGGATACGAATCATAGAGTTCCAGTAGTCCAGTAGTGACAGTGGCAGCGATTAGCTCGGTCATGCTTCCCAGGCCTTCACTGGCCCTTCATCCCGCCTGCCGAGCAGGACGCTTGGAAAGCTGAGTGTTGTGTTGAAGCAAACATAGAGCGCGGCTCAGCGAGGGAGCAAATGTGCCTGAGTATCCTGCCGGATGAGCAAGCGCAGCAGAAGTATGTGGAGGAGGACTTGAAAGATCCAGATCCAGGCTTTGCTTCAAGTCTTGGAGAAGATGAGCATTTGGT